CGCTGGAGCACTTGCATACGATGCACATTCTGCACCGCGACATCAAACCTGAGAACGTGCTTCTCGACACGGACGGGCACATTAAGCTCGCCGATATGGGCCTCTCGAAGCGCCTCGAGACCCACCATGCCCGCACCAAGACCATGTGCGGCACCGACACATACCTCCCGCCCGAGATGGTGAGCCGATCGCCGCAGGGCCACGGGCTCCAAGTCGACATGTGGCAACTCGGCTGCCTCTTGTACGAACTCCGATCTGGGTACCCCCCGTTTTATTTGCCACAATCCAAGCAAAAGCACACGCACCAGCGCATCCTGTTCCAGTCGCCCAAGTTTACGGCCACGATTTCGACCGAGTTTCAAGACTTGCTCACGAGCCTGCTCGAGAAGGACCCGACCAAGCGCCTTGGGAACACGGCCGGCATCGCCGAGCTCAAGGCCCACCCGTGGTTCCACGGTGTCGATTGGGACCGTGTTTTGAAGAAGGAAACGACGCCGCCCATCGTTCCGAAGCCCGCCGGCGACGACTTTGTGGGCAACTTTGACCCGCAGTTCACCGAGCAGCCGCACTCGCTCGACGAGGCCAACGCCAAGGACGATGCTTTCTTCAACGCAAGCAAGGACTTTGCTGGCTTTGACTACGTGCGGCCGAGCTTGAAGCCGGCTGCACTCGAGCCATCTCTGGACGCCGGTATGGTCACGCTCAAGCTCTAACACAGCCCAATCTGCTGTAACCTTGTAATCCCACACACGTCCTCACATGCTTTAAACTTATGACCGACGCCAAAAACGCATTGTCATGCCAACCACCATCGCCGCTGTAAGAGCCGTGGCAACTGTGCCAAATGGCATTGCACCGATCGTCGTCGCGTCGTCGTCAGTCACGGGCACGAGGCGGGACGTCGACCACGAAGTGAGGCCGAGAGACATGCGGGCGAGCGAGAGGTACACAACAAGGTAGGTCTCGGGCGACGGGGAGAGTTCGAGAGCGCGCTCGTAATAGCGTCGGGCGCGGTTGGCGTCGGCGGTAATGCCGTCGTCGCCGTGTTCGTACAGAAACCCGGCGTTGTACGCCCCGATGCTAAGTCCATCGGCGCTCGCTTTTGTGTAGTAGGCCAACGCTTTTCGAACGTCCTTGGTCACGCCGCCCTTCCCGTAGTAGTAGCAATCGCCGAGTCGAAGTGACGCCTCGATCTCTGCAGCTTGGAGTAAATACTGCGCTTGGTCACCACCGACGAGACCATACAAGTAGGCGAGGTTGCCCGTCGCAACCGGGTAGCCGAGTTCGTGTGCTTCGTGGTAGCGCCAGATGGCGCCTTGCATCTCACGCCGACGGTACAGGTCAAAACCCAGGCGGGCACTCTTCCCCCACGGCCCGGCGTCGGTCGTTGCCTGGAGATACGGCATCGCTGCTGCAAGATTTCGGTGGTCGTTGCCTGTCGGCCGGACGCCGAGGTAGAACCTGCCGAGCTCGTAGACTGCGTCAAAGTGACCAAACGACCGCGCGGCCACCGTGAGGTACTCGAGGGCGCGGGTCGTATTCACATCGGTGCCGAGGCCTCGCAGATAACAGTACCCGGTATTGAAGAGACTGTCGCCGTCCGACTGCAGCTGGGCCGCTGCTTCAAAGTACTCCAACCCTTTTGTTTGGTTTTGAGTCACGTTGGCCGAGCCGTAAAAGTGGATGTAGCCAAGACCGTTCAACGCTCGCACGTTGTGGGCGGCCGCTGCCTTCTCGTAGTACGCGATGGCCGTGACGTTGTTTTGGTTGACGCCTTCGCCCTTGAGGAGCATGCCGCCAGCCGCCGACTAGATGCAAGTCAGACAACATGTCTTCGCCAACGAGCCAATCTTAGATTTGAATAATAATGTACCATGGCAACGACATGGCCGGCGTCGGCAGCGCGCCGAAAGTAGCTGAACGCCCGGGCGTGGTCGCGCACGCAACCCCGGGCGCCCCAGTAGTAGAGGTCGCCCATTGCTGTCATCGCATCCAGGTCGCCCTCGACGTCGGCGCGCATTTTCTGAAACTGAATCCATGCATCGTCGTCGCCAGCTTGGCCCAGCGTCACATCGACGTCGTCGGCGTGGAAAAGCGAGTTCATTTCGTGCCTACGACCACACAATTGAACTCGGTACTAGTATAAAAGAAGGCAATGTACAGCGGTTCTTGGCCGGGGCGATGATATGCGCGATGGGCCTCGGCCCCCGCCCAGCTGTAGTAGTGCGCCGCCGTCTCGGCATCCTTCGACTGTTGGTACTTGCGCGCCAAGATCGCCATTGCCGCAACGTCGCCAGCCATGGCAGCGACATGATAAAACAGTAAAGCGTCCTCTGTCGTTGACGTTAGCACGCAGAAAGGGCGTCGTAGGAGGTACCTGGGCGCGACGTCGAGGCAACAAGTCCCAAGAACCGCGCGGCCCGCCAGTCGCCGCGCTGCAACGCTGAGTGCAGCAACTCGGTGGCAGTTTCTGTATCTTGTGCAGCTGCAATGTACTCTGCACCGTCATACCGTTGACCAAAGAGATACGACGTGGCCGTGTCGAGAAGGGCATCCGTGTCGAATGCATCAGTCGAGGTTCCCACGAGCTCGGTGCCTGTCATCGTCGACGACACTAACGTGTCTGTGGTGAGCTGTCGGAGCTGCGCGGGACGGCCGCGCCCAAAGTACACCGCTTGCTCGGACGAGAAGAGTCGCCCGACGTCCGTCTCGGGCATGGCATCGGCATAGAGGCGGACATCACTGACAAAGCCTTGGATGCCGCGGACCCACGGACATCCGCCGACGTACAGGTTGCCGGCATTCGGGAGCAGTGTCGCGTTGCTGGCGTGTATACGTGCGTCGACGCGGCCGTTGATGGTGAGCGTCACGTCAAAGCTGTCGGCACTACGGTTGGCCAGTGCGACGCCGAGAAGCACCCATTGGCCAATCGGCAGCGCGGATGCGCTCGAGATCGATGCAAACATGTCGTCGCGCGAGCTCACGCTGAGCATGAGCGTCTGGTCGTGCGGGTTCAACCACATGGACGGCGTCCGGTGGTCGTCACTGCCAGAGCCCTTGTACAGAAGCGTTTGGTGCGAGTCGGTGGCACGTTGGGTCAAGTACACCCACATCAGTATCGACCACGAGCCAGTGCTCGACGTCGGAATCGACGTGTGCGGGATCGTCGCCGAGTGGTTGCCGTCGAGCGCGAGGATGCCAGGGATGGCGTACGACGACTTGCGAACCGTCGTCGCCGAGTCGAGGACGAGAGAGTGCAGAACCTTGTCCGTCTCGCAAGGCGCTTTGTCGTCGACAGAAACGACATTCGACGCGTGCTGGAGCAGCGGGTGGTCGCCGAGCCGCAGCACAAAGCGGTAGTCGCCCGCGACCCCGACACGAAAGGTCACGGGTACGCTGCTATACGCCCAGACTTCCATTGCGTCGTACGCGATCGGAAAGGCTTTGACGCTGGGAGAGCGCTGAATGTCGCGAATCCAGACGTCGTCGACCGGTGCGACCAGAATCTCGATGCGTAGCAGCCGCGGCGTGACCCAGGTCCCGGCGACGGCGGGACCAAAGTCATTTGGGAAGTCCAAGATCGCTTCGAGATCGGCCTTGGTTGCCACGAAAGGCTCGTTCGTGTCGTCGCTGAACGAGAGATCGAGCTCGTCGCCGACTTGAAGCACTCCGTCAGGCCGGTTTGGGACAACGAGCGTCGTCACGTCGGGTTGGCACACGACCGGGTCGGCCTCGCAGCGAAGCCCAGGCGGACTGCCCTTCTTGGTATTTTCGCTGGTGTGCTTAGCATGCAGCTGGACGTCCGAGCCACGGATGAGTTCACCGGTTGCCGCGTGCATGAGCCCGATGAAGGCCGTCTCCGTGGGCTCGTACGCGGACGCTATGGACCAGGATGCCTGGACCTGCAGACGATCGTAGGCACAGAGACCGCTCAGCGCCGATGTGTTCCACTCGACCGTATGCATGACCGAAGCACTGCGAGTGTAGGCGGCGCCAAGGATCACCGCGATACCGAGGGCTCTCATGCTCTCGCCTGTCGACGTTCGAAAAATGGCTCGCTTCCTTGGATTGCCAACGTGTCGCAGAAAGGCTGCACCAATCACAGTAATTTACACAGCCTTTTACACATTTTACACGTGTGCGCTTTTCGGAAACAAGCTGATCAACGGCGGTGACACAAAGCGTGGCGCCGATGGGAACCAGGCGCGACGTGGTCTTCGTCGATGTCGAGGACCAAATTTCTTGGTCAATTAATTGCATTTAGCCACGCTATATTCAGAGCGGTGCGAATAAGAAGGCCGACACGTGGAGCGTTATGTTCAGCGACCAAAATAGCGCGGGAAAGGGAGACATGACCGAGCCCTGTGATGACCCGACAGGCGTGTGTCTCCTCCGCGCATGCACTCACGTCAACTGGACGTCCATTTGCGCACTCGGTTTTAGCAGCAACTGGGCGTGCTGCGACCTTAACGTCCTCAACGCGGTGCTGCCCACGACCCTCTGGGCCATCTTCCTCGGTCTCAGCCTCTGGTTTGGCTGGTTCACGGGCATCGTAAGCGAGCTGCGCACCAGCGTCGATGACCTTCACGACATCAACACACAAGGTACGCCGATAGTACTGGGTTCGTTCTCGATATCATGCACTCCTAGCACTGGGTGTGGTCGTGGCGCGTCAAACACACAGTGTCCTTGGCCGCGAGATTGGCGACCCGCGCCGGGTGCTCATGCTGCTTGCAATGGGCTCAGAGCTCGTCGGTTTTAGCTACCTTCCCGTTCAGCTTCTCTTGTACGAGTATACCAACGGCACGTTCGCGGCCCAGTCGTCAGCGGGTTTTCAGTGGCTGAAGTTTTGCCTCTTTACGCTGCTGCTGTGGCTCTTGCTCTTGCCGCGGCGCGTCACGCGACGCATCGACAGCCTCTTGACAAAAGTGGTCGCGCCGCTTCTTTTTGACACGTGCAGTCTCTTCTACATGTATACGATCATCGACATTGGTGCGTGCTCCAACGGTATGGACACGTGGACACTGCCCGACGGCACGACGTGCGGCAGCGAAAGTCGGTATGGCGTGTTTGCCGCGCTTGGCACGGCCTCGTTTGTGCTCTTTTATTGGCGTATGGACGCACGCTTCATGGCATATGGATCATATGGCACGCGTAGACTCGCTCCAGTACAAGTTGCGCCTCAACGACCAAGTATTCGCGGTTCGATTTCGATACCAGACGTCATTTGGGTCCCTCATGGCGTACACGCGGACAGGTAACGTATTGTCGTTGCTTGTCATATGTACTTGAAACGAATCAAACCAACTAGCGTGCTGTCTCGGCTTCTTCACGGTCCAGCGCCTCCTCTTGTACTTTGACAAGATCCACGTCTTCCTCGCATTTAGCATCTTCAACATGGTTCTCTTCTCGCTCCTCTTGCACTACAACTACGTCAACCAGCCCGTACGTCCAACTGAAATGGCTCATCCCGATATATATGGGTCGACAACCACCCTATGTAGTGCCTCGGCGTCGGGCTCCTTCCAAACAACTTGCGGTCGCTCTCGTTTGCCACCTCCGTCTACACCTCGACAATCCTCTTTGGGATTTCGTGCGCGCTTCACGCTAGCGGCACGGAAAGAATGTCCCTCGTCGAGCAACGTATTTTACAGGCCGCCGCCGTCGCCTACATTCCGTTTGCCGTAGCCACGTGGGCCATCAACTCGCGGCGTGCCCGTTTGTACCACGTTCCCAACTTGAGCTTGAAGGCGTCGTTGGTCCACTCGACGCCCCGCGTCCGCGCGATTGCTGCTGTGAGCATCGCTCTCGAAGATCAGTCGCGCTGGTCGACCAGCGACATTCTCGACCTGCTGACGCTTTTGGATGACAACTTAAAGACGTCGCCGGCCTTCGAACAAGGTCTCGTGCTCGCGTACACGTGTCAAGCGCTGTGGAATCTCTACTTCAAATACGTTTCGGTCCACACGCCGCTGAACGAGCCAGGCGCGGACTCAATGATGTCCCTTGGTCTCTGGTCCAACCAACGCATGTCCACCATAAACAATGCTATTGGGCCCACGGGCTTTCACAACCGCAGCTGGTCGCGTGGCTCAGCGCTTCTCGCACTTGTCCAGCGAAATGTCACCGTCGGTGCGCACACAACAACACAACATATGGACGAGCTCTCGTCGTCGCCGCTCATTGCATCGATTCTTTCC